CTTCATCTTCCCAAACTCATTCTAGATTCAAACGTGGTATTAAAAGCGGGTTTGTCCTAGGATCTGCAATGACTCTGGGCTTGAGCTCTATATTTTTACCCGGCCTACTCTGTGGGCTTGGGTTTACGAAGTACTCACAAGTGAGAGTGCGCATTAAAATATCACTTGTGAGTTGTCACGCAATGATTCTTCAGGCTAAATGAAGCTATTTTATAATCATAGTGGGCTGGCTATTTCTCCTATCACCAATTGGTTTTGGGATTGACTCATTAAGGTACACATAGACTTGCCCTTTTATGGTGCACTTCAATTGGTGGGACCGCACCCTCTTCCCCCGATTACAACACATCACAACAATGCTGAGCACCATGTCAAAGCTTCAAACAAACTCTTTTGTGACATGTCTAAAGAAAAAACTATCCTGAAAAGTGTTATCATATCCTGTGGATTAGTCGTAAGATTGATTGAGCTTCCTCCCTTCATAGCCTCGGTCTATGCTATCTTGGATATATATTGCAATGACAGGTTGTAGATAGAGGTGGCCAAGGTCCTACCCGGCCCGTCAGCTCGACACTGAACTAGTCTCGAATCGGCCCGCAATCGGTCCGGATTTCGACAGTTATGTGAACTGGAACCGTGGCTATGTGGGTCGGTTCCGATTCTTTTTTTATTGATTTTTGTCTCCACGGTCCAGGCCGGACCGCGGGTTAAAAAACGGGTGGCGGTGTGAATATTTTTTATTCATGGGCCGAACCGGCCTGGAAACGACAAGTTGGTGACCCAAACTGCCGGCCAGTTCAATGAACTGGCCCATAGAAATTGACGGACCGATTACGGGCGCGGGCCGGGCCGTGATTTGGCCACGTCTAACCGCAGAGTAGCTTTCATGTTGAACATATTACACAAGAAAGCAAACAAATGTTTGCGAAAAAGAAAGATGTGTGGATTGTCGTATCAATTATATGTTTGCAATGGAGAAAATTCGTAAATCAAGGGTCAAGTTAAGAAAAAATTCGTAAATCAATGGTGTCAAGTTATGAAAGAATGATTTTACGTGAGCTAGAAGGGTTTTGGAAGAGCGGTAAAGTTTTTGTTTTCCTAGCAGAAGGCACTTGAATTTGATTATGCAAAATCCATAGATGAGAATGTCAATAAGACCTTTGATGCTCTTTTTGACATTGCTCTAACTGTTAAGAAAGATTTAGAAAGAGAAAGAAAATACAAATTCAACTAGGATGCATGCAACCTTTGTTGTGCTGGTGCTGTTGAATCTAGCTAGTGGTGTTGCTGGTTTGATGCATCGGTGGTTCTAGGGGCAATTATGGTGCTTTTCCGACGGTGAGGCGAGTTGGCTTTCGGGTGTGTTTGGTGCTTGGGTTTCGGCTCCCTTAGGCAGTTTTCGACAGTTTCGGGGTTGACTTTCTTGGGATGTGGGGTGCTCCTTAGGTGGGCTTGTCGTCTGCTGGTTCGGCTCGGTCATTCTGCTGTGGAAAGGCTCGTCTGTTGGTTGTAGTTGTTTTTGTTCGTTTTTAATTGTGTTTGTTCTTTGTTTTGTATGGTAGGTATTGTGTTTTTGATTTGGGTCTTTGACCTTTGTTTATGCCCTAGTGAGGACAAGTATTATTCCAGTGGAATCGTTTATCCTCTTTTTTGGGAGCTCTGTAGTATTTGTAGTGTTTGTTGTATCTTGAGTTTTGTGGTGTGATTTCTAGCATTGCTAATGTCAGTTCTAGGCGAGACCCGTCGTCCCATTTTTTTCAGCGGTTAGTTGTACCATTCAGCTAGGAGCTGTATCTTTACACTTTTGTGCGTCTTCAAGAGAATGGAAATTATTCCTCCTTAAGACTGTGTAGTTTGTTGGTTAATGGATGAGGGGCTTGATCTTATTAATCTATTTTATATTCTTATGGTGTATATTTTTCTTTTGTTTCCATTACATCAAATAACAATGTGATGAGTAAACATTATTGCAGTTCATGGTTGGTCCAACATATATTAATTGCAGATTTCTTCTTATATCGACAGAAAATCAATCGACTACTGCTCATTCGTCATATTGAAGATATAATCCAATGCTATAATGGTGGTCCTATGTAATGGCGATTGTTCCTGTGCCCACCACTGCAACTTCAAAAGGGAAAAAAGCCACCATAAAAATTTTGGACCACTTACCAGTGCTTAAATCCTCTTTTCAATCTCCTTTCCTTTATATTTGTGCCCAGCAACATTGCTCTTATGGTATAGTTGCTTTCATTCACAGTCATGTCCACATCGAAACATCGATGAAAAGTTTACAAATCAACAAGTTATTACACACATTAGAATCTTCTTATAGTTACTGAAAAATAAGTACATCAAGTTATGGACTATACACACACAAGGTCATAAAAATGAAATTTTACCAAAGATGTATTACGTTCTACAAGTCGTGCACGGGGAGAAGAACGTCTCTGCCCGATAACTTCCTTGCGATCGCAATATCTCTTGAATGGCAACATTAATTGTTTTAGTCCTCGGTTCTGATTCAACCAACAGGAATATTGGCTATAAACGCGAAAAGTTTTATGAATATATGATCTATAATACATTAATTATTAGTCCACCGTTGGTGAGGACAACTAACTTTATCTGCAGAAAAAAATCAAGAAGCAATAACAAAGATGTTTCAGAACTAATTGAATAGGCTGGGCCAATCTGATTCCCAACCAGACAGCTGCTGCAATTGCTGCAAAACACAAATATTATTCCTTGTAAGAACTCATGAGTTCATAATAAACGAGCCCACAAAAAAAGTTGACGATATAGAGTTGCAATAGCCCGTTCAAGAAATCACGTACAGAGATAAAAGATGAATCCAGAAACACTTCCGGGATTTGTCCTGGCTTTTGGGATAAAATCTGAGGTTGATCAATCGCCACATCGCTTAATCCGCTGCTTGAGGTCCCGTGTTGCATTGTATTATTATACTGGAAACACGTCGGATTTGGCAACTCGAGCTGTGTTGCTGCTGGTTGACTGGAAATATATGCGGGCATCTATAAAGCATAAGTTGCATCACTTATTAGTTACATGTCGGTAACAATAAGCAACATAACAAATGCAAAATAATTGATTGCTCAAGTATGTGAATCATTAACAAATAACATACTTCTTTTGCGAAGGTACTATCGATGCAGTAATCGAGCCTTGGGTTAACTGTAGCCAGCTTCATCGAGAGGAACTGCATCATCGTTACAGCCTCTATATGATTACTCATGAAGAATTCATAACAAGTCAAAGGCATTTACATGTAGGGCTTATATAGATGAAGTATACCTCCACTTGCTTCTGTAGGGACTGAACATAGTTTATAATCTCATCAAGCATCCCAGCTTTACCGGTAACCTTATTACACCCGGGCACTAAATCTTGCAGACATTTCATCTTTTTGCTTATTTTCTCCCTTCTTGCCTACAAAAGAACCATGACATCTCTAAATCTCATCACACAAACCATTCATCAAACACTAAAGGTACACCAAATATAATTCATTTTAGAGCCAATCGAAGGACACATACTCTTTCGGCTAGGCTGTGACTGTCGGTGGCCTGACCCCGACGAGCCCGGACGTGAACGTAATCGGGCTTTTTGACCTCTGAAACATTGGAGCACGAAATGCCTCTGCCGGTTTTCGTGGTGATCACTGATTTTTCCTCCCCTGCTTCTTCTTCCTTTACAGTAGTCCCCTTCCCCTTTTCCGCATCTTCAGCTTCGAACTGTATTTAAAACCAAGAATAATAAAATTAATGAAAAGGTTACTGAAAGCTGAGACAGTTTCTAATAATCCAAAAGGGTTTTTTGTGAAAGCAAAGAACCTCCGCTTTTCTCTTGTTGGCCGGGGAACATGAGCTACTACTGGCTTCCCCGTTGGCCGGGAAGCTGCTGTAACATCGCCGGTCAGGGTTTGGGACTGAAGAGCCGCAATCGGCGTGAAGAAAATGGGAAGGGATTTGGATGGTGGCATGCATGTCCGATTGGCGGTGGCTGTGGAGGGTTTGGCCGCGTTGGGTGTAAAGCAGGGTTAGGTCCATTTGACGACGGCGATGATGGCGAGAAGTTTGAGGCAAGGGCTATGGAGGTGAGTTGTGGTGTGAGGCAAAAATGAAGGAGAGTGATATGAACGGATTTATAAGGGAATATGAAATGGAGTATGGATTGGAAAGAGAAAGAGCAAAAGAGATGGAGAGTGGACCCAAAGCTCCAATGTGGCGCAACCACCATGTGAGATTGTCCCGCTTTAGAGCATCTACAATGCTGCGCTACTCTAGAGTATTACGCTAGGGTAGAGTCAAAATTGATCTTCAACGCTGCGCTATATTTTTGCACTACTCTAGAGTTATGAACAGTATTGCGCTACATCTGACGCAATACTATTCATTACTCTACAATTTTTATTTGTTTTTTTTTTTATTTTTTATTATATGCAATTGATTTATCTTAAAATTCATTATTTGACAGTTTTTACTATTAAATTTATAATTTAATTTGAGAATTATATAGAAAATATTATTATTTAAAAATATATTTTTATATTGAATTACTATAAAATAAATCAAATATTATATAAAAATAATAATTCTTTGTGGAACAATATTTCAAACCAGTGGAAGACCAACTAATATCACGATATATTATATTTTATAAAATAATATGTTCAATTAAATAATATTTTGACAAAATAAAGTTAAAATAATATGAATAATATATGTAGAGTAGAATGTAGCGCGAACGGTTGGAGGTCGAATTTGATTTTTGGTTAACTCTACTCTAGAGTAGAGTAAACTCTGCACTAGAGTAGAGATAAAGACTGGAGATGGTCTTAGTTAGGCTCAAGAGAGAGGAAGTAGATTTTTATTATTTATTTTTATTTTTATTTTTGGTTAATTTGAAATGCACATATTCTTTTGGAATTTCTAAAATATTTTGATACATTTAATTTAAGCTTTTTAAAACTTTTAAAAGTTACATTTGAGACTTTAAAAATTCTTAAAAAATTGTGAAGTATTTAATTTATTTGAGACTAAAAATTTGTTATGGCTTTTTAAGATTTGTTGAGATTTCTAAAGAAAAATTTATACAAGAAATCTCACTTCAGATATGACATCAAGACTTAAAATTTCATAGAGTTCCGCCTAAATTTGAACATTTTAATAAGTGTTAAATCTAAAAAAATTTCAATACGTCACTCAAAATACCTAACGAATACACTCTCTTCTTATATTGACTTCATAGAGGGTGTTTGGATACTAGTTATCCATTCTTTTTTTTTTTTAGAATTCAAAATTAAACTAAACTCAACTTTTCTCAATATTATCAATATAATTAAATAATATAAATAAATTATCTTCACACATCACATAACTTTAATTCACATTCACACATAATTTTAACTACTAATTATCTCCAATCACAACAAAATGACCTTTACGAGTGAGGGCAAATATTTGTTCAATTTTTGGACATTTAAACTTTTTATCTATTGAGCAACTCATAATTTCATTGGTCAATATGAAATACTATAGTTTCAGATTTTAATTAATTAACCAAGTGCCAAGCTTTTTTTTTGGTAGCCAACACGGTTCGGGAGTTATGTCCTGACTAATACGTTGGTCGACCCGGGTTTACACACCTGACGGTGGTGGATGAGTCTCCCAACAAGGATTTTCTGCATCCATAAGGACTCGAACTCGAGACCTTGTTTAAGCGACATCAAGCTAATTACATTTGAGTCAATCTCTATTGGTCCAGCTTTTATTTAATATGGGAGTCTGTCAACATCATTGTTCATTAGGAAAACAACAAAAGGGATTGCTCAATTCACATGGTATGTTTTGTTTGGGATGGAGATTGACCCTCAACTTATTGATTTGGAATAATAAAAATAAGGTTAAATCAATTTTAGTAAGATTTTCTGCCAAATAAATTAATGACCTTCTAAAATAAATATTACCTATATTTTTAATACAAAGAAAAACATTAATTGCATTGGAGAGATAATCTTTAGAAAAAAAAAATCAGTTTCTACTTAATTTTGTCAAAATCTTGTTATTAAGGTAAAGTTTCTTTTTTTTTTTTTTTTTTTTTTTTTTTTTTTTTTTTTTTTTTTTTTTTTTTTTGGTATCAGGTTATTGTTGTACAAGAATATTTTAGATATACTAAAATCTCAATTTCTTTATATATTCTGATTTTTGTTTATAAAAATTCGTTTACATAAATTAATTTTAATGAATTGAATTTTGTTTAAATAATTCCGATCAACAGGTTATTCTATTCATATAAATAAATCATTTTTTGTATTATTATTTATACTAGTACAACACCCGTGTATTACACGGGTGTTTGATAATTTTTTTCTTAAAATCTAAAATTAATGAGAAAAAGTAGTTTGAAAATTTGAATATCTTTTATAAGAATATATATATTATTATATATTTATTATGACACTTTTTATTTGTGCAATTTACTTGTGTTATATTATATTAATTTTTTTTAACTTACAATATATAACTACATTACATATAAATATATCAATTGAAAAATAATTTTATTTTTCTAATGAATTTCAATAAATATTATTATTTTTTATTATTATAAAAATAAATATAATTTATTTATTTCATATATATACAATATGGATGTCAAATCGAAGATCATCAAAAGATGATTAATTTGATATATTATATATGTAAAACCGATAAGAAATACAAAAGTTATCAACTTTTAAAATACATTTATAATTCAATAGTTTATTGAAGGAAACAAATCAAAATTCAGGGATATATTAGTCTTAGTGCCTCACTATGTAAAATTACAAAGAATTAAAGGGTTATATTAGTAAAAGTGATATTAAAATACCTAAATTAGCTAAATAATATTTATGGAATACCCGAACCTAGATTATTAATTATTAATATATCAATATTATTTATCCAAACCTAATTACGAAGCATGGTTCTTCGCCAAATAGGATTTCGAAGCACCAGAAGCAGCCACGTAGGCTCAGCGCATTCTGCAATTATATATAAGGAGGATTATAGCCATAATAAACAGATTTCTATTAATATTTAACATTTTCAAATATCACGATTTTAGTGGTGAAACATATTAAATCTAGGTCCGTCGTTTCCCCAATTCCACCATAACCCTAGCAGCTCTCCTCTTCAATTTGCGCCGGTCTTGCTCCCTCGTCGGTCATCTGGGTCTTGAGGTGGACGGCCTCCGTCGCTCGTCCATGGAGGTGCAGCCTTCTCCCATCTTTGCCGTTCTCTTCCGGCTTCGTGCCTGGTCAGCGGGGAAGTTCTCTTTCCTTGTTGGTTGTCGGAGCTCGGGTCTGGACGGCGGTGGTCGGGACGTGGTGCTGGTCTATGGACGAGGAAAGGTTAGCTATACACGGTTCGACCTGGCCGCTGGGATGCTTTCCCCTTCTTTTGCCTTTCTCGTTGCCGGTCGGGACAGTGTCGTTTCGCCGGCGAAGCAGCGAGCTTCCTTGGCTTTCTCATGTTTTGGCTCTAAGCCGGGTCAATTGCAGGTTTGGCCTCGTTCTGCTGCTCTGTCTCGGTTTCTCTTTTGTGTCTGTGACCGGAGGGCTCTCGGCGAGTTGGTGTTGGGGGTTCTCGGTGGGTGGCTTTGGTTTCTGCTGGGGGTGGTTCGCTGTTCCCGGTTAGTGCTTGGTCATCTGATCGGATTTTGGTGTCTCGGGCTGGGTTGGGGTGTATTTGCTGCCCTTCGTGATTGGAGTGCGGGCCAACTCTTCGGTTGGTCCTGGGGTGTGGGTTCCGTCTTGCTAGGCCTTATGCAGTGGCGGGCGGGTTTCTCCCGTGCTTTGGAGCTGTCTGTGGAGTTTGGTTGTCTGCCTTTTATCTAGATGTATTGGACGGGGAAGGCTGTATTTTTTTCTTATTTTGTCTTTAGGTTTGGTTTGTTTTTCAGTTTTTAGTGTTGCTGTTGTTGTTTTTTTGGTTTGGGTCGATAGACCCCTGTGAGCCCGAGTGTAATTTTGTACGCCCGAGTGTCACCTTATTACCTTTTTGGGGTCCGACACTCGGGTATTACTCTGTTGGGGTCCGATACTCAGTAGTTGTTTTTGTTGTTTTAGTTTGTTTTAGTTGTCTTATTGTTGGTTAGTTTAGTTATGAGTATTTTTATTCTAGCGTTGCTAGCAGGACTCTAGGCGGTCTTCTGACCTGTCCTCCCATTTTATTCTACTGTTGGCAGCTTTGTATCTTTATTCGCACTTTGTGCGCTTTTGATTTATAATATTACCTCTGTCGTTTCGAAAAAAAAAAAGTGGTGAAACATTTTTAGATAGACACAAAATCAAATTTCATTAGTACTTCTCTTATTTTTTTGTAATAATAATTTATTCACACAAGGTTGTTCATATTGATTGTTTTAAACTACAATTAAAGACACTATATTAAAAAAGATAAATTTAAAATATAATCTTTATGAAAATCAGATATACAAGTGCGAGTTTTATTCATAAATAGTATTTCATTTGAACTTAACGATTTCATTTATTTTAAATAGTGTCTTGCGATACAATATAAATCTCATTTTAAACACAAAAATACTTTAAAGATTACATTTCAAAATTTGTTCTAAAGATTGGATTAGAATTAGTCGCAAAGTTAAACTAAGAGAATAAAAGAAACAAATACAACATTCACTAATCACGTAACAATTTTTTTAATTAAAGTCATAATATATGGTTTTCATTCAACCACAATTCATACAAACTAAATTAGATATTTTAAATTAGATATTCGGTTTACCAACGAAATAATTTATGGTTGTTTACAAATGGCTTGTTGACATCCGGATCGGCCTGGTCAGATTTGAACGGGCCGATCCGGTGAACCGGGAAAGAGCCGGACCTCCGGACGGGAACCGAGCCGTTTAGGGGCATAAGTACCGAGCTGAGTCGAGAAATTATGTACAACCCGGGCTCATGGGGATGATACCCGAGCCCGACACCTTGCTCAGTGGGGGGCCGGGCCGGTCTCATCAAGTGCCGGGCTGAAAGAAGATT